AATAAATGGCTGTGTTATGCCTCACCTGTTGCCAGAATTCACAACTTGCTGGGGTTCCCAGTCTTCAGGGAGAATGCTGTTGAATTCGGGTCCTGATTGTGGGTTTGTTTGTTGATCGCTGTGAGAGTATTTGATGAACGCTAGTGAAAGCACCAGATTTTGCCTCAAGTGAAATTCAAAATGAATGTGGGGGTTTCTTCAAAGTTCAGTCCCTTAAGAGCACACTAAAAGAAGGGCCCTGCTAGTTCAGACTTAATGCTTATCCAATTCATTTCTTAATATTTTAATGGTGGCCAGTGCCGACCAGATTCCTAAGGAAAGTCCGCAAGCAAGGCATGAGTGCAAGACCACTCTCCTACTTGTGGTCTCTAGCAGGGGTGGACTGAGGCATTTTGGCATCTGGGGAGAAGGCAAAGCTGGATGGTGGACTGCATCCCCTCTCGCTAACTTGGCAGGAAGAGAGGCATTCTGCCTTAGGTGCCAATTCCTGCGGGCTGAGGCACTTTGAGCCCCCTCAATTTTTAAAGGGGGAGCGGGTGCCCCCATTGTTGAGGCTAAACGCAAAGCTGGGCACAGAACAACGCCAGGACATCATGCAACGTCATGCAAGAGACATCAACACATCACGTCGCTTCGGGCCCCCTCAATGTACCTCAGAAGGTGGCGCCTCTGCATTCTGCAGACCTATGCTGCCAGTCCCTTCCTGCTTCTATAGGCTGGAGAAGCCAGCAGCAAAGCTGGTGTCAGGAATGAGCCAGCTCCAAGTGAAGGTTGGCAGTCAATTGCAGAAAGCAGCCACGAACAGAGAGGCTTTGATGTTAGTCAGACAGGAGAGAGCCGGCAGCTGCAGAGAGGCTGATAAGGCAGTAGCTGAGAGCAGGCTAGAACACAGCCAAAGCTTGTCAGAAGCACAATCAGGCATGGATAAACTCAGAGACAGCCTCTCAGACCCGGAAGAGGTTGGAGCTGATCCAATAAGTCTGAGGAGTTTGCGAATGGGAGGGTTGTTAGGAAGCAAAACAAGAGACGTAAGTGTTGTAAGTTCAATATCTGCTGGAGACGCCGGAAGGAGTCTTCAAAAGGGTCATCTTGAGTAATGATGCCAGAGGCTTTGTTAGAGCCATCCGGAGCTATCTGCTTGTTTTTGCATAGAGTGTGTGAGAGAAAACTGATAGATGAGGTACCTATAGAGGAGCAATGAGCCAATTGCTATTATATTTGGGGTCATATATAGACCTGGCAGAGTATCAGACCCACAGAAACAAGAAGATATCAAAGCAATCTATCAAAAATTAATTTACAAGCACCTAAAGGAAAATGGGTTCATACAAGCAGGTAATCACCCAGAAGACTGTACCTTCCCACTTGTTGTAAGAGTTTAGCCAAAGAAATCTGTGAGAATAATAGAGGGTCTGCAAGGAGACGCATGATAACATGAAGGTATTTCATAAAATTTAGCCAGAAGAAAAGCTTCCGGTGGGGTGTGTGTGTATATGTTGACCATTTTCAAATGTTTTTAAATGCATCGGAAAGGAGACGCCAATACACACAGACAAAAGGGCAACGGATTTCAGGGAAGAGCTAATTTAACATTGTGATAGTTTACTTTTTATATGAGTGATTCAGCTGTACAGACAAAGGAGGAATCAGTGTTGAATCGATTTATACACAGAATCTGGTGGTTCCAACTTGATCAAGCTTTGCCTGTATTGAACTGCCTTTTGTTTGAAGCTCCTGGTTGTGTCTGAGCTGCTTTTTCATAGCCAGCCACCCCCAAAAGTTACATGCAAATTTATATCATTATAATTATATCATTAAGTTATTATGAAGCATCTCATACATGAGAGAGAAACACACAGAGAGAAAATCAGGCCCTGTGCTTTTACACTGTTAAAGAAAAGCAGGTTACATCCGACTTAGTGACAGCCAGTGGGGCTTATATATAATTGCTTCTTTCTGTTGGAAGTGGATTTAATTAATAAATAATAAATTTGGCTTTATATAACTGGCAAAGAGAGCTAAAAATTTTCAGGCCTGCTCTGTACGTGAGAATGTGCAATAGAGGTTTTATGAACAGTCAGGGCATTTAATAGAAATAAGTGCTGCATTTTCTTCTTCTCATTCTCGTCTCTCTCTCCTTTCTCACCTTGTGCTACACTGTGTTTTCTTATTCACACTTAATGATTTCTGCAGGTGCCCAAGGAAGCTTTGGATTCACATTTTTCTCTGTGTGTGCAAATTATGCCAGTTCTCCAAATTATTATTCTCCAGTTGCTTCTGTATCTGAGCATCACTAATTTCTTCTTTGTTTTCTTGGGCTCCTTCAGTGTTAGACAGGTAAATATGGAAGAAATTTTATTTCAAGGAAAATGCATGCATCTACATATTCGCCATTTTTATTTTTATGCCTTTAGAAATTGCAACTTTACCTCAGTGACTATAATACGTGATGAAACAGCTCAGATACAGGTCTGTCATTTAGTTACCTTCTTTCTGGAGATGAAACAGAGGGGGGAAGGGATGAAAGCCAGCATAGTCAAAATGTGTTGCTAAGCCTTGGACTGCAGTCCTAAAGTCTGTTCATGCAGGTTTTTCCATTGCTGGCAACAGAATAGCAAAACAGAACATTTACTCAAGCAGCATAGTCTGTCCATAACCAACGAGAGTAAAGCCAACAGTTCTGCAGCTGGTTTTTCTTTGCTGGATCATGGCTCTCTACATGAAATAACAATGCTACACAAATACCTGAGGGAAATGTACATTTTTGTACCAGCGTATCCTAAGGATATTTTTCCTTGGTTGTCTTTCGTGCAGGGGAAAAAAACTGTTGTGCAGAATAGGGCCGAAGTGTAGGCACCTATTTGTTGTTGTTGTTTCGTCGTTTAGTCATGTCCGACTCTTCGTGAACTCATGGACCAGAGCACGCCAGGCACTCCTGTCTTCTACTGCTTCCCACAGTTTGGTCAAACTCATGCTGGTAGCTTCGAGAACACTGTCCAACCATCTCGTCCTCTGTCGTCCCCTTCTCCTTGTGCCCTCCATCTTTCCCAACATCAGGGTCTTTTCCAGGGAGTCTTCTCTTGAGGTGGCCAAAGTACTGGAGCCTCAGCTTCACGATCTGTCCTTCCAGTGATCACTCAGGGCTGATTTCCTTAAGAATGGATAGGTTTGATCTTCTTGCAGTCCATGGGACTCTCAAGAGTCTCCTCCAGCACCATAATTCAAAAGCATCAATTCTTCAGCAATCAGCCTTCTTTATGGTCCAGCTTTCACTTACACACATTAAAAACACACACATACAAAAAGACAGCAAGAGAGAGAGAGTTTGCTGTGTTTCTGTCCTGTTCTCTTTCTCTGAACACAAGGCAACCGGAGAAACCAAACTGGACAGAATATTTGTCAGAGCTTAAAATGAACACTGAAACATAAACAGGTTTAAGGCACACATGTGGATCCAAAGGGTGTGGAAGTGAAACGATTCTCTATGGTGGGCTGTAACACCCCATGTGGCATATGATATCCCATCAATCCTAGATATGCTATGAAGCAGAGATTAAGAAATTAGCCACTTTTGGTTAGAAGAACAAAATAAAGGATATAATTTAGATCTGTAAACATCTCCGTGGTAGTAACATTTCAGCAGATGCTGTCAAGTAGTTTTTTTGGTTAATGACCCATGAGAAAGTAAACATCAGGTGTTCAACTAGGTCAGGTGATAATACAGGAGTAATCCTGTCGAACTGTAGAGGAATGGAAAAACACTGCTGGCCTGATAAAATACAGGACTCGGCTATACAGCTGCAAATAAAACGTTTTAAGTGTGTTTTAAGTGCAACATACAATGTGACTCTAGATGGTGATGGCCAATTTATGGAAAATTTAATCTATTTTTAAAATCGCATATACATATACATATATATATATATATATAGATATATATATATATATATGATTTTCACAGCTTTTTTTATATATGTGTGGATTCCACCACAGTCTTTCCTTTTATCACTAATAAACATGCTTTCACATTTTGCTGCATCTCAATTTATCCCATATTTTTCATGTTCCGAATTTAATCTGTGCACTTTGTTTCTTTTATAAAACTTACATAACACCCTTTGTCAGATGAGTCACAACAATAAAATGCATCACAAATGCATCACAACAACAACAACGCAGCAGCAGGAGAAACGACAACAACCCAATTTATGAACTGGAACCAAATGCATTAGGAATTTAAAAAGCTCTGTCTAGAGAGAGGGTCCAATACTAACTTGTGACAGATTGGTGTAAAAACAAGACAAGTTATCTCCCCACAAGCAGGAGACAGATCAATTTATTTTTCATCTGAATTTGGGCCCCATCCTCAACCCCCACTTCCCTATAAAACAAGACTTGCTAAGTCAAGTTAGCAGTAGCCACAGTGGTCCTGTCCCATGGATAGGAAATTATGGTCTCCAACTGGTTGGTCAAGAGGTGCGAGTAGTTCTTGTGACACTCTAGTAGCCCTTGGGAAAACTATGCTTTCTGTGGGTCTACCTAGAGAAATGACCTCTCACATTCTCTTTCTCTTTGCCCCTACTATTGCTAGTTGCCTGACAAGTACCATGTAAAGAAAAGAATGAGAGTGTCTGGGTCTCAACTAGGGCCAGGGCCTTTTCTGTACTGGCCCCGACTTGGTGGAACGCTCTGTCACAAGAGACTAGGGCTATGCGGGAGTTGACATCTTTCCACAGGGCCTGCAAGACAGAGCTGTTCCGCCTGGCCTTTGGTTTGGACTCAGTCTAACCCCTATGTTTCCCTCCCCTTATGGTTTTGATCTATGGGCTACTTTTAAAGTGAGGCTGCATTTTAAATTGCATTTTAACCTGTACCCCTCCCCCCCATTTATGTTTTTACTGTAATTTTACTGGTGTTAGTCGCCCTGAGCCCAGCTCTGGCCAGGGAGGGCGGGGTATAAATAATAATAATAATAATAATTATTATTATTATTATTAGTGCCCAGCAGGTGGAGTGGAGGGAAGCTCTCAGGGTGTTGTGACTAAATCAGAAATTATTCTTTCGCTTGGCTTTTAAACCAAGCCAGAGAAAAAATTCAGGACTCCTCATGTTCATCTCCAGGAAGAGGAGGCTTATTATAATCCCCACAAACTTCTAATTTGGCCCAGATCCAGCAGGCAAAACTGGCATCTCCTATTCTTCAACCCTGCCTGATCAGAAAGGGAAAAAGTGAGGTGCCAAGAGGAAAATTTGGTCTGCCTTGCAGTTGCAAGGAGGATGCCTGCTTATCTATCTGAGAGCTGATGGAGAAATAACATATTGGTTTGAACATAATATTGAAATGCATTTCAAATTTTACTTGGTCAAAAAATGGTCTTCTATAGTGTGCCTAGTTTAGGGAACAGTAGTATATAATTCCGTTATAATCTTTGTTCCATGAAAATTGAATATGGAGTCATATGCTTTGTCATATGCTTTGTATACATAATATTAATTCTTCAGTTATGTTTTAAGAAAACAGATTCCTGCCCACTGGAAACAAACAAACAAAAACCCCTTTTACTGTTGCAATTATGTATATTTTATGTACTCTTTTATGTGAGGTAATGAAAGATCTTACCTTGTGTTATGTATCTATTATTAACCTGCTACGCTTTGTCCGTGTTCTGTTTTTTTAGGGATGATGTCGATTTGTTCCAATGCAAAAGTAAATGTCAGCATCTCCTTGACATACCTGTCTTCTTTTTCATGTCAATTTCACTCTTCATTTCATATTAGCTTGTTATGTTTCTATAATTGCATTTCCATTTTTCTCTCACGAAAAAGCCACCAGTTCTATAGAAATTAAAGCAAGAATTCTTATACTTAAAATAGTCTTGATTTTAATTTGTATTGTTGAAGCATTCTGGAAGAACCTGAATTTTTAAAATAGCCATCGTAGTTAACTACCCAAGCAATGTTTTATTAATAGAAACAACCTCACTCTGAATTGGTTTCATTTCCTCTCAGGGATGTTTCCATTTACCCAATCCTGAGTGCCTTCGTGACAAGCAGGGGGTTCTCATGAACTCTTGCTTGGAAAGAAAGCGCAGAGGCTACGTGTGGCCGCTGTTGCCACATTAATCTGACAGGCATCAGAAATTGTATGGAAGCTGAGCTTCTCAGTGCAAGGTGGAGTTCCAATGTCCATTGAGCATTAGGGCGGTTCATAACAAAACTTTTTTTAAAAAAAATGCCTGCTCCAAAGGTCTTATCTTACCACACTAGTGATTATATAGCTATATCTGAAATTTCATGAATATCAGTTAATATCTTGACCCTCCTCCACGAAAATAGCTATTTACTTGGCCGTTTTTCTTTGTCTTGAAGGCTGAAATTTCAATTCAGTGGAGCAGGGTGAACCAGAGCAGCGCATGGAAACACGGTTTACCTTCCCGCCAGAGCGGTACCTATTTATCTACTTGCACTTTGATGTGCTTTCAAACTGCTAGGTTGGCAGGAGCAGGGACCAAGCAACAGGAGCTCACCCCGTCACGGGGATTTGAACCACTGACCTTCTGATCAGCAAGTCCTAGGCACAGCGCCACCCGCGTCCCTATAAATCCATGTCACTCCTATGTCTTATAATCTGAGCTCATACCCTCTGTGCTTTGAGTGCTTTCTGTTCTGCCACCTTCTCAGCTCTTCTTGACCTTGGGCCGAGCAGAGGAATGCTTTCCAGAGACAGTGAATCTGTTAACACACTCTCTCTCACAGTGTTTCTTCTCCTAGTTGTTCCCCATCCAGTATTTCCCAGCTTCTGCCTTCTGAACTATGTCCCTCTGCAAACCACTGTTCCAAATCTATACTGTCCTCCTGCTCCTGGGAAGTTTCAGAATCCAAATCAGGAGCAGGGAGAGGGGGAGGCTCCCACCATTCCTCCTCAGTACAGCCCCTGACACCAATGGTAAAAAAGAGCACTGAAACTACAGCTGACTAGCACTGAGCATCAATGAAGTGTACAAAAGCAGTTTGCTTTGGGGAATCTTTCGAGATGTATTTCAGGTGTCCCCAAAGGCCTTTTTTTCATTCCTAAAGCCTACTTGTGCCTTAAAATCGTTCGAGCAGGACCTTCTCTTTGTCCCGTTATCAGGGGAGATATATATTGCAGCAAGTTAGGGTTCTTTTCCCGTGCTTGCAGTCTTGGGATTGTTTTAGCACATGACGGTGTATGTTTTCATTCCACATTGTGGGAAGTGATGGGGACAGGATGTTTGTATTACTGCATTTCCATGATGTAGGACTCTTTGTCCTTTGTCCTTTCTCTTTGCTGTTTGATGCTGATGAGGAAAGAGCTGAGTCAGAATGCTCCGAGTGTATTATATGTAAATAAAGTAGTTTAGCCAAAATGCTGCGCTACTGAGTCTGTACGCTGACTGCACACACTCTGCTGATCTTAAAGTGTGCTGATGCCTCTTGGTATCAGTCGCTGTGATGTTCAGGCTGGAGAAAGATTTTGAAGCTCCTGAACGACTGACCAGGAGGGAGAGAACATGCCAGTCATGCATGTGTCTCTGCCAGGTTCCTACTCATGTGCGGGACCTCCTGACAATAAGTACCCATCTCAAAATGAGAAAGGACAGAGCCTCTATTCGGAAAACCTATCTTTGATAGACTGAACCAAATGCTTTAGGCATGAAAAACAGCCCTTTGGGGACACCTGAAATGCATCCCGAAAGTTCTCCCAAAGCAAACTGTTTTTGGCTATATTGGGATTCTGTGATGTTGGTCCTGAAGGATCTGCACTGATTGCCTGTTTGATTCCAAGTCCAATCCAAGGTTTTAAACAAGGCACTCCCAAGTTGGTTTGGGGTCCAATTTCATCTACCAATTTCAGGGGCTGCCTGTAACCTCCAGATTGAAATACTTGTACCAAAAATATTATTTATTAAAAACTTTCTGATTAATTATTGCACCCTTTCAGCCAACCACAAGGATTTCGATCCGATCAATCAACTAAACGTCGCAACAAATACTTCTTTGCAACTGGAGATTTTTCAGGGCAGAGTCACAAGACTAGGAGCAAATGCATGCATTGCCAGAATGATACATTTTGATTTTGAAGGAGAAGGAGCAAGACACTCATGTGTCATCTTGACAGCAGCCAGCAACACTGGCATCAACAATAAACATCTGCTACTTTTCACTTCCAGGGGTCTTTGCATTATTTTCCAAAGTTACTTCTTTTTTCTTTTTTTACTGTTAGGCAAACTGTTTCCTGGAATATTTACCCAGAACATATTTCATATGTACAAGCTTTAGTAAGTGGAGCTGAAGCAAACAGATGTGCTAACCCCAATGTGCACTTTTTATAGTGGATCCCCAGTGGGGCTGACATTTTAAATGGAGACCAAATTCTCATTAACTTTCGGCAAGCTATTGACTTTCAGCATACATAGGCAGTCACTGCTTGTTGAGAAATGTTATTAGAAAGTGAGGGTAATCAACAAATAGCAGGCTTTGCCGTCCTTCTGTTGAACATTTCTCAGCCTAAACTAATCAGAGCAAGGTGCAAGCGTGATGAAAGCTTTTGAAGACATCTTTAGTAGAGAAAGCGTCATTTCCACACCAACCAAAAGAGAACATTCTTACCCTTGTCAAAGAAAGCACATGTAGGTGGAAAGAGGCAAGCAAAAGTTTAGCAAATCCTCCTAGACAGCTTTGGAAAAAGAAACCACACAAATTCTACTTTCTGCTGCAGGGCTGCAGAACTTTTTAAACTTGTAAGCTGATTGGCTACTCCAAGCATGTGATTTCTCTTCATTTGCTTGTTTGCCTCATTGGGTCTTCTTTCTGTATTTATCATCCGGGGTCAATAGTGTTTGAGTAAAGGAGCTTTTAATTGATTTGTCATGCTGTGGTTATTTTGTTTGTTTTGAACATTTCTATACTGCCCAATTAACCATGTTCCCTGAGCAATTTACAATCCTTTTAAAAGTAAAAATCGATAAAATACAAATATAGCGAAACCAAAACCAATCTATTGCTTACAGAAACTGCATATCAACATCAAATCAGAGCAAAACCATTGCGAAGTGACGCAAGATAGATGAAAACAAGGTGGTAGTGGCAAAACTGGTCAGGGAACTGAAATGCACCAAACCTCAATTATCTAAATGCCTGGAAGCATCAAATAAGACCTAATATGGATCACAAGCAAGACTCTCTGGTGAGGATATTCCACAACTGGGGTACCATTTCTGAAAAGTCCTTCTCCTTAATAACCACCTGACTGATCTCATTAGGCAGGAGAACCTGGAGAAAGGCCCCTGCTTAAGTTCTGGCCAGGTATATCTTCTTACATGGGTATGTTTATCATGTTGTTTTATTGTTCATCAATTTGGCGCTTGCCTTAATGAAACTCTTTTAGTTCTTCTGGAAATTATTAGTGGTTTTGCTTATGCAGGAACTTCCATATTTGCCTTGTGTTGGCCAGGTTTCAGTAGCAGCTATAACTTTAGCAGCCAGTGATGCCAGGCGTGTTTTTGAGCAAGGATAACCTGGATTTAACACCCATCAAATTAAATTTAGAATGGCAAAATGAGAGATTTGAAGGTTATTTCCCTCCCATTTTGTGGTAATCCCATTAAAACCATAAGCTTAACTGGGTCAGAGAAGGAAATAAACCCTTCTGGAGCACAAACAACTCATGTGCTAAAGGAATCTGTTCCTGTTGTGGCTCTGGCTCTATTCTGTCACAAGGAAGACTGCTGTCAGTCTTGTACAGGAGTGCACAGACTTTAGAGTGGCCAGACCTACTTTGCTTCTTATTGGAAGCCCACAATCAACTAACCAGAGCCTGGCGCAAAAGAATTAAAGCTTGGGGAAAAGAACAGGGTGCCTCCAAGCACATGGTACGAATCTGTTTTAAGTACCAGAACTGAATTGAGGTCACAGTCCTTTTGCTCAAAACTAGCTTTCTTCATTTCAACAGTCTAATTTAGGAAAGAAAAGTCATATTCCTGCCCACCACTGGTGTGCACCCTCTGACAGATTATCCCTGAGAGAAAGTGGTTTTCAAATGCCAAAACATTGCCCACCCTTGGTTTGGGTAATGGAGTGCTCTCATAAGGTTCCTGGGACGTTGAAATAAAAAGATGTGGCCAAAATGAAACTGGATAAATTTAAAATGCCAGTTTTCCAAACAAGGAGAACATGCATACCTTTCTATGCAACTGAAATATACTCGGAGTCGAGTGTGGATTTCATGCTCTTTATTCAGCTCATAGTAGTGAGGAATGAAAGTTTTCCCAAAATATCTGCTCTATATACATTATTTACACAATGGGCCGCACGTGATTGGCTAATTCCGGGATTCTCCTGTAGGCCAATCAGGTTGCGGATTCACTTCCACCTGGAGCTGGATTTGGTGGCTCCTGCGGACCAATCATACTGCTGCATTGTTCTAGGACCAATCAGACTGCTGCACTTTGGATCCTATTGTTCTAGGACCAATCAGACTGCTGCATTTTGGATCCTATTCAACTCAGTACATAGCAGCAACCTACTAGGAATACAAGGACTTCTGCATTCATTGATCCTTTGCCCAGTTACTCATGCATGAATCCATTGAAATCCATGGGATGTATTGACACATAACGCATGACAGATTCATGCCCTTATAGCACTAAGAGGATGAAAGAAGCAGTTCATAAGAAAGACTGCTTATGGCCAGCTGCCTAGAAGGAATAGGTGTCTGGTGTTATGAAGTACTAGAAGTGAAGAGCTGTTAGCATCATTTGTATTAACCTATAGCTAGTGTCTACACAATATGGCAGGGGAGACAAAAGAGATGAAAATAGAACAGAGAGATTGAAATTATAACCAATATTTTGATGGATGAGCTAGTGACCTTTGCGAGATGAAAGCAAAAGAACACATCTTCTGAGCAACTCTATTTGTACAATTATTTCATGTCATATTTTGAAAGATCAGGATGTTAGGCCGAGGCAAGAATCTTTCAGCTGAATAATTATTAGAATAGTTTGCCATAGCACACAAATGCACGAACACACACATAACTGTAACTAGTAAGACATAATATTCATGTACACATCTAGGATACAGCTAAACAGAAATGGTTCTTGAAAAACTCAAAAGAACAATCTTTATGGATAGGATAAGCATGGATAGAGCCAGAAGCAGGAGACAAAAGAAATGGCAAACCAGATACTGAATGGGGCAAGCCGTAATTTACTTGAACCTCCCAAAACAGAAGCTTCACTGTGCTTGTACACTAATTTATAACATTCCTTTACCCATCCCTTCACCATAAAGTCCCAGGGCAGGTTATAGCAATGAAATATACAATTATACAAAGAAATAAAACTACTGCAATTATAAAGCACATGGAACTGTCCCAAATAGAGCAAGACAGTATAAATAGTAAATTATAATAATCTGCACACATAATTTCTGATTGCAAATGTATTTACTCATATGGTAGATAAACTGATTTCAATTAGATGTACATCTATATGGATATGTTTAGGATCAGTGCCTTAATTTTTTAAAAAAAAAATGGATTTAGTTGTAATATCTAATTGCTGCTCCGGCAATTAGATTGCTTGACAGGCAATTAGATTTAAAATAAATGACTAAAGAACAGAGACAGGGACAAGAACCCTCCCAGATCTATCTTGTAAAAGTCGTTGTTGTGTGGGTTTTTGTTTTTTTAATAGCCACCCGATAGACAAAACAGGCAACTTCCCCCGAATATATATTTTACCCCCAGATAGAGATACAGAAGGAGAATGTGTCACATGCTCCAAGACTTCTGCCTGTTGTGCAGCACAGGAGTGATGTCATAATAAACATGCCAACCTTAGATACCATATTGCAACTGCCTTGCAATGCAGCTATTGCACAAAAAGTGGCCCTGAGGTGGCTCAGCCAACTCAGCTGGAGCAGTATTGCTCACTTGGCATCTCAGTGCCGAGTCTGTTGTGGTGTGGCTGCAGCAGCAGGTGCCTTCAATTGGCTTTGCTGCTGCACCCAGACTGCACCTAGCTCCTCATCACCTCTCTCACCTGCCTCTGACTCCTGGCAGCAATGCTCAGCATCGGGAAGCCGGATGAGCAACATCACCCTGTGCTTGCTACAGGGTGACGACTCCCACACAAAGATCATGTGCTTGCCACTGGTTCAAATCCCCCTGTGCTCTGTCAGCATATCTGAAGTGATCTCTCTCTTCCATTGAATCTTGCAGCCCTTTGGCCAGTAGTATATATCCCATATATGGGACGCGGGTGGCACTGTGGTCTAAACCACAGAGCCTAGGGCTTGCCGATCAGAAGGTCGGCGGTTTGAATCCCCGCAATGGGGTGAGCTCCCATAGTTCGGCCCACTCCTGCCAACCTAGCAGTTCAAAGGCACGTCAAAGTGCAAGTAGATAAATAGGTACCGCTCCGGCAGGAAGGTAAACGGCGTTTCCGTGCACTGTTCTGGTTCGCCAGAAGTGGCTTAGTCATGCTGGCCACATGACCCGGAAGCTCTACACCGGCTCCCTCGGCCAGTAAAGCAAGATGAGTGCCACAACCCCAGAGTCGTCTGCGATTGGGCCTAACAGTCAGGGGTCCCTTTGCCTTTACCTTATATATTCTATATACCCTCTGGGTGGTGGCTTTTTGCAACTGCCCCCAGATCATTTTTATGGTTTCTAGAACTTAAAAAAGAAGAAATGATTGGGTGTGGGTGTGGGTGTGCGTGTGGGTGTGGGTGTGTGGGGGATAGTAATATGAAGTATGGCTTGATTTTTAGGTTCAGAGTGGGTGCTTCAATCACAAAATTCCAAAATTCTACCTAAAAATAAGCACATTCTTACCCTTCTTGTGTTTGTCTTTTGCTGGTACATGCCACTGATCTTTACTGTTCCATGCTTCTTTTTAAAATGGCTGTCCTGGCAGTTGGGAAGGAGATGAGGGTCAGTGGTCAGCATCCTAGAAGCCTCTTCCTAAGCCCTTTTCAAAGACATGAGGAAGCTTGTGAAAGAGGAGTGGAGGAACAAATGCACCAGCGTTACTTTCCCACCATCATTCTATTAATCTTCCCCAAGGGCAGAGGCTCCCTTTGAGTATAGGAGGTTTCACCCTTCAGATGGTCACTCTCCCAACTTATGGGAGGGAGGGCAATGGGATTTGGAGGTGAAGCTGGTACATGACTTCCCCTCGCACGTTCTTCTTCTTCCTCTTCTTCTTTGGTGATCACTCGTAGCCGAGTAAGACTGGCATCCATGAACACAGTTTTAACAGTGAGTCCGTAAGTGACTGTGGAGCGGTGGCGTAGCGTGGGTTGTCAGCACCCGGGGCAAGGCAAGTAATTTGCGCCCCCTAACCCGTGGATTTTAGTAGGGGCAGAGAGCTGCGAGTGCGAGCGCCCCCCCAGATGTTGCGCGCGGTGCAGCCAGCCCCCCCTGCACCCCCCACGCTACGCCACTGCTGTGGAGGCCAATTCTGGATCCACACATCCTTCCACAGTGGGGACATAAGTTTCTGGGTGGGAGTTGATCACGGTGAGGGTTTTCCAAGTGTGCCTTCCTCTTAGAACGTTTCTCCCTTTCGTCCTGAGTTCAAGTTTCTTCAAAGCGCATGACACCTTTGGTAAAGGTTGTTCTCCAATTGGAGCACTCGCAGGCCAGTGTTTCCCAGTTGTCGGTGTTTATACTACATTTTTTTAGATTACATTGAGAGAGTCTTTGAACCTTTTTTGTTGACCACCAGCATTATGCTTTCCATTTTTAAGTTCCGAGTAGAGTAGTTGCTTTGGAAGACGATAATCAGTCATCCACACAATATGACCAGTCCAACGAAGCTGATGTTGAAGAATCATTGCTTCAGCACTGGTGATCTTTGCTTCTTCCAGTACACTGGCATTAATTCACCTGTCTTTCCACGTATGGTTATGGTGAACATAGGAGCCACCTCCTAGAGGCTGAGGTCCCTTCAGCTCCCCCTAAAATATTTGAGGGGACCGAGGGCCCCAAATTTTGGTGGACATTGTCTTCCAAAAGGTGTCTGAGTGCCGCATCTTGTGATTGATTATGTGGGGCAGAGCTTACCTGGTCCTCGTCCTCCCCCCAATATTTTATTCAAGGTGTCACCCCTGATGGTGAGAATCAGAAAAGTGACTGTGAAACCTAGGAAGGGAAGGGGCCCTTCTCAAATGCTGCATAACAAATCCTCATTTCTTTTCTGTAATAAAATATCATAGAAAATATATCTCAAGTTCCCTTCGTTGCTTTTATTCTCTTCATACTTGATCAAGCAATTGTGTGGGTTTCTTAAAAAAAAAAATAATCATTTGTATACTGCCATTGAGCAACATTTGAATGACTTTTGATTCCTAGTCAGACTTATCCTTGCATCTCATCTAAGTGCATCTTGCATCTTTTTTCATTCTGTTGTCATAGTTTCACACTCAAGCAGAAGCAAAGAAACTTGCTGTCCTGGGTTCAGCTACATTTCTATTCATTTTCTTGGTTTTATGATGCATATTATATTTTCTTAAAATTATCCTTCTATCCAGAGAGAAATACTGCTGGTTCAATGGAACTTTTAAGATTTCAAATATAAAATCTATAAAGGCTCCGCACCAGATTTGCAAGTTCATTGTCTCTTTTAGTTCTCTTCTGCTTCACCATCTCAGTATCACCTGCAATTCAAAGCCCACAACTATACATTAAACTGCATTAAGCTAACATAAAGAGAAATGCTTTTCACACAATACAGGGTGATATAGCTGCATGCCTCTCATTACCAGTAATGGAAGTTACATAACGTCTTTTGATACGGTGCTGAACATGTATCCCTGAGGGTCTAAATTCAAGTCAGCTTGGAGAAACTCGCTGGGAATTTTGACATTAAAATGGTAAGTTTCTCATCAACATGTGTCATTTTGGTGAGACGCTGAGAGAAAAATCCTAAGAAACTTTGGCAAACTGCTTTTAGTCTCTCTTTATCTCTCATACAGAGAATCTGTTCCCTAATGATTTTTTTTCTTCCTACAAAGTTATAGAATTGAAAATGCTTAGAAGCCTCCTCACAACCATGAAGCCTTATAATACAGGTTTCCTAATTTTAGGGAGGATTGTGTGTTCAGCAGAATACACTTATTTTTATTTTTAACCAACTGTAGACCACCTTTTGAAATGAAAAGAAATATACACCAAAATAAAAAATATAATATAATATTGAAAGAGCCAAAACAACCATTTCATTTCAGAACACTACTAACAACAGCACTATTTATTTTATTTTTTAAAAAGTAGGGGGAGTGGATTTGGCCTAATTGCACACAGAATTGAATTGCACAATTGTGGGTCCACCATCAAGAAGGAAGTGCTCTATGTGCTTGTGAGCCTGTCTATCTTAGCATGTGGGCATTTAAGCAAGGCTTCTGAAGCAAATTGTAGCACACAAGTGGGCTGTAGGGCTGGGTGATACATCAATATATTGTCCAAAACCGGTTTGAAGTCCATATTGTTATATTGGTTTCATAATTTTAGACCTGGCAACATATCACAAATCATTACATGTCTTAGGGCTGGGCGATATATCGTTATACCGATATAACCGGTTGCAAGCCCATATCTTGATATCAGTTTCATAATTTTTGACCTGGCAATATATTGCAAATCATGATGTGTGTGTGTGTGTGCTATGCAAAAATCACAATGCAGGAAAAAATGTGAAGCCAGCCAGTGCCTCTACATAGATCCATCCTTATTACAGACATCGTGATATATCAGTATATCACGATGCTTAGCTGGTGATATATTGTGATGTTGAAAACCAGATCTCGCCCAGTCCTAGTGGGCTGATATGGGTGCAAGCACTCCTTTTGAATTACCCACTTTCAAACCATTCAGGGCTTTAAAGATAATCATCAACAGTTTTTGGTTGGGCATGGAAAAGCACTGGTAACAAGTGCAGTCAGTTCAATAGACGAGTAATATGTTCTCACCACCTGGCCCGAAAATGCAGGTGGCTGCATTTGGCACCAGCTGAAGTTCCTGAACTATCATTAAAGGCATCAATACAGTCATCCAGGTTGGAGGTCACTAGTGCACAGATAGCTGAGCCAAGGTGAACCAGACAACACTGGCAAAGAGGACCCCCAGCCACAGCCAGCACCTGAGCACCCGAAAAGGGGGTTGAAGCTGATCACCAGGACTTGCTAAGCCACAGGGATTGGAAGCTGATTGATGGGACTTGCAAACCACGGGACTTGGATTTCAAAGCGAATGGACAAAACAGGCCACCTGGGGTTACTGTCATGGGAGGTGATTGACAGATGAGCAGCCCCTATCAATCTTGGCCTGCTGGGGGTGGAGGTGGGATCTAGTCTGCCAGCCACAGCCAGTTCAACAACCCTGCTGTAAGACATGACTCTTTTATCTCACTCACAGATGACACCTAGCCTGTTTCCATCAGAACTGTTGGGATGCTTAATATCACTGCACTGTGATGTTTCATTGCAAGCTGTTTTGTCTGCAATCTATGATCCTGAAAAGTAGCCCAAAAGTCATTTAAATAGAAAATAAATAAACTCACATCATGGGTTGGTTTTTTTGTTGTTTCACTAGCAAGGGATATGTCATGCATGTGAAAAGGCTGGAAGGATAATAACTGCTAACATCATTTTTGGAGGATTTCCAGCCTAGCGATGTCCTTTCCTCTGAGGTTTATAATTAATTATAGTGGCTGGCGCTTGAAAGATTTAGTTGAGGCTATTTGTTAAGCCTTGGTGCCCTGATTACTCCCTCTCCCCCCTCCCAATTCTCTAAGCATGCAGCACAAGAGGCTGCGGTTGTAGCACGTTGCAGAAATTTGGCTTCTTAGCGCATCAATTGTTGCAAGAGACTATGGTCTACGGAGTGGGAGACTTTAGCTGCAGCTGGAATCAAAGGGAAGAATATAAAGCAGAATCTAAATTACTTCCTTTGATGCTTTCCTCAAGTTGTCATCCGCAATCTTCCTATTTCGAAAAAGAGCTGTTAGTGATTCGGGGTGGGAAGTTTGATAAAGAGGTAGGGGAGATATGCCTTTTGTAGCTTCAAGGAATACTAATGGATATAGATCAAAAGCGCCGCAATTTCTCTAAGTTTTCTAATTTAATAGTTCAAGCTGCCTTTTATGACAGATATGCATATGCTTAATACGCGCACATATTTCAAACTTAATTTTGGATTCATGTATTCATTAGTATGACATTTATTGTAATGCTGTTATCTGTTTGTTTGTCTTTGTTGTGATTAACATCACACTAGTTATTACTTAGTTCATTACTTGGCACTTTCATTCAGGGAAATGAGATGTTATATTTGCTTTCCGCACGTGCCTGCCGAGCAAAGGGAACTCCCGCCCCTCTGTGTAAACCCAAAGCCAAGGGGAAGGAGAAAATGAAAGTGCAGACTATCTGCGAAAAGCAAGTTGAGCTGCCAAGCTGGAGTAATACTTCTTAAAAGAGCACTCTGACCAAAGATATCAAATTGCAAAGCAGAGCATGGAGAAAACATGGCATAAGTGAATGTTATGTGGGGGGTCAAGTTCGCTCAGGCTCATCTGAGGGTTGCTAGAATAAACAGAGGCTCTCAGATATTTACGGATAGTTCTGAAGGCGTTGAAGGGATCATTACAAAGCAATAAAGCAAGAGCTAGGGGAGCGGTGGGAAGAAGGGCAACACTGCCTAAATAAGCTACACTACTGCATCCTTTTTAGCAATGAGAGTGAGATCATTTTATTTGCCTAGGAACCTTTGTGGAGCCAGCTGGAGAAGATGGGCAGGGGTGGATAATGCCTTCTGTCAAGGGCACCTATGGTTTGAATAACCATATCTATTATACCCTCATCAGTGCCATTTTTCTAGAAAAAGACGTGCCAGAATTCACCATGAACGCCTTCCTCATTATCTTAGAAAGACAATGGCACCCATCTGATAGGTGCCAGAACTGAGTTCTGGCAAGTTCTGGCTGAATAAAAGCCCTAATCCTTGTCATAACTATTTCACACACCTGCTAAAATACTTTTTATTTCAGTAAGATCCCCTAGACAAATAATTTAGTTATGTACACAGTGGTACCTCTACTTACATTCCCCTCTTGTTATGGATCCTTCGGGATACACACGCGGAAAACGCGGAAGTATATGTGTGCGCATGTGCAGAAGCGCTCTATCGTGCCGCGTGCGTGCGCAGAACAGGCACCTCTGGTTGTGTACACCTTTGGATCCGACCGGAGCTCTGGAACGGATCCCATCCACAACCGGAGGTACCACTGTACTTGTTTTTAAATTTGTGCTGGTTATACCTGTGTTATCAATATTTATTTTATACTATTTTATATACCCTTAGGGTTCTTTCTTTCTTCTTTCTTCTTTCTTTCTCCTTCCTTCCTTCCTTCCTTCAACTTACTTTAATATTCAGGTTTACTTTTGAGTAATTCCTTCCTGTTTTGGCAACCCATCCCCCATTGTTCAGGACAGCCCTGAGTCCTGTGGGTGGGCGGTTGTTTCAGAATTTCCTTACGTTAACATCTTAGGTCTAAACCATTGTCTTTTAACATCCTTGGGGATATTTAAATATTTCCAAAACAGGGAGGGGAGGAAAGGACTTACAATGTGAGAACATTCAAACACACAAAATAACTGTTTAATGTTTTGAATCTCTGGAACCTGCAATCCCTCTAAGCATTTTCCTGTAAGACACTCCAATGATAAATGCCGCAAACCTTTTGATACCATGGTCAAACTGCATCAACCCCAGGGCATTGTGAAGTTGTACAAGCCCAGACACCATCCCATGCTTGTGTTTGTTAACACCATTCAAATGCGCAGCTGACTCTTTCATCATGGACTTATCTTCCAAGAGCTGTGTGCACTTAGGCTAAGGCTCTTTTGCTATGTACTAAAAGACTCCAGTGCCATTTATACATGCCTGCCAATGCTGCAGAATCAAGGATGGATATCAGCAGAGAGCTGAGTCGGTAATGGAACCTGCCAGCCCTGTCAGAAGTGGTAAGAGCGGCTGCCAAGTCCATGCCCACGAGGAGAGAGAGACTGAGATGAAGAATGAATGAAGTGGATGGCAATCCAGAGAGATGGAGTTCATTTAATTGTCCTTCTTTTCTGTCCTCGTATTGTCTGTGTTTGTTTTTCTCTAAGAATGAATTGGTGTGTAACCGCGGCAAATGACATGAACGCAGGAAGGATCTCTCTAATTAAATTCGAAAAGGGTCACATACGTGGGCTTTCAATCTTCCTTATTGGTTAGAAGATTAAAGGTACAAAAGTATGCTCACTTGGAAGAATTCTCAATTGGATTAAGTGGGACTAGCATCCAAGTAACTCAGGCTTTTGAGATAGAGGTAGAAAAGGGCTAAGGGCCTTTTCAGATGTCTTGTGTAGGTTTCTGAACAGCCAAATGAGAGTGAGAACTCTCAGGATGATATCTAACAGAGTAGACCCAGTGAATTCAACAGAATTTCATGGGGTCTTTTCTGAGTATGAGTAGTATTGGATATTACCCTCATAATTATATACAGCAGATCAATCCAATAATTGTATTTTTAGCTTCTGGCTCTTAAAGGCACATTCAGAAAGGAGGGGAAAATGTGGAAACTACCATATTTTTCGCTCTATAAGACGCACCAGATCACAAGACGCACCTAGTTTTTGGAGGAGGAAAACAAGGAAAAAAAATATTCTGAATCTCAGAAGCCAGAACAGCAAGAGGGATCACTGCGCAGTGAAAGCAGCAATCCCTCTTGCTCTTCTGGCTTCTGGGATACCTGTGAAGCCTGCATTCGCTCCATAAGATGCACACACATTTCCCCTTACTTTTTAGGAGGGAAAAAGTGAGTCTTATAGAGCAAAAAATACAGCATGTACTTGATCACTGAAGAGCTCCTCTAGTTCCTGCACATTTCTCTTATGGGGCCTGATATCAACAGGGCCCCTGGGAGTCTGAACTTCCTTGTATCGGTAAAAGAAGCCCCAATTCACTACCATCCACATTCTCCCTAGGGGAAGAAGACCTAGCTTCTCATAGACAATCATGGAGAAATTCAAGAGTGTAGCGCATCTGGGATTTTCCACAGCACCTCCCCTCCCCACCCCAAATGCAACCTATTTTTGTTGCAGGACCT